CTATGATTCATGTGAATATACATACTTGTATCTTCTGTATTTCTCTGTTGGAAAGGACAGAAAAATCTGCTATCAGTATAGGAATATTAAAAAAATAGCCCAGAACATGCTGCCATACGGTAATTTACCTTAAACTATTAAAAAGCAGAGTTTTTCAATGTTCACTACTCTGTAATGCTCATCAGTCATTTCTCAGAAACAGAATTATGAGACCAGAGATAACTGTGGTAGTGTCTGCTATTGGTGAGAACATGCACCAGGCACTTGCATCAGAGATGGAAGAACACTATTAGATCATAGTTCACACCCTGCAGATGGAGCAAACCATCTTCTGCTGAAGAACCTCAGATATTAAAAAGATGACACGTCATCATCTGAGACCCATCATTAAAGCTATCAATCAAAAAAACACCCTCAACTGATCTTAGTATATCTGTTGAAAATGTCACTGAAAATGCTGCACAGGAAAGAGATCACTGCATTTCCAACTGCTAATAGCAGTTCTAATATGGCATTTTTACTTATAAACTTGCATAGACACAAAAATAATCCTGAAGTGTAACTTTACTTCTGTGTTCTGTTTAGAATAAAATATACATAAAGACATGCCATTACATATTCTAAGAGCATTTCCTCAGAGAAAAACTATAAATCAGTTGTCATCCCATCCAACTTGGACAAAAATGAGACAAAGAATTTGTGTCCCAGGCATGGCAATTAAGTCTGTTTTGTACTTTTAAACACAATCAGAAAGTGAAAAAATTGGCCTTTAAGGACAAAGTTTATACAGGCTGATTACTTAGAAAGTGATGTGAGACTGTGATCTGAGCAAGACAATTTCTCACTAGCACACCAAATATGGCAACCACAAACCTTTCAAAAAAGTCTCTTAATTTTTTCAGTATGGGAGAAGGGAAGAAGGACACATGAGCAGGCACAAAATGTTGTATCAGAAAAGACTAGGGTGATTTCATGAGATCCCAAACATTGCTCTTTTCAAAAAAGCATATCAAAAGCTATTTTTCAGAATTTCAATACATAAAGGAGAGGTGGACTTCTATGACTTGCTGGTCCCATCATTCCCAGTCATGCAAGTCAAAAGCCAGACTAGAAAAACTGCAGTAATCCCAGGCCACATAATAAAAAAGCTCGTAAATTCTCTCAGCCCAAAGGTGGCCTTATAAACTTCAACACTGAGTATTATTTAGAATTTTAACTAGCACAATACACAAGAAAAAAGGAAGGCATTAGGAAAATAAAAATATGGTTGTGAACTCTAGGAAAAACAGAATGCTCCCATAAGTGCGAAAACAGCTATGATCAGGAGAGGTGAAGAAGTAATTACTGGGAAAATATAAAACAAATGCAGTTTTGAAGTTCAGAAGTTACTGCTTTTCTTTCTTTCCACTTCACAGATTTTTGGACACGATGACACCAGGATCACCTTCAACAAATTTAGCTGTGACATAGCCTTTTGACCTTAATTGACCACTGCACCCTATGATACAAACACAGTGGACTGGGCTTTTCAGTCAGAGCTGGGTGACTGTCCTCAGATGTACATCCTTCCTACACAATGTGAAAAGGAGTTGACAGGAAGCAAAGGAAATCACAGGACTTGCCCCAGACAGGAAAACTTACGTCCTGAGTCAGAAGTTATCTGGGGCCACAGCTGTCGCTGCAGTCCCACAATAAGCAGAATTAACTCTTATCTTTTCCTAAATAATGTCCTTGCCATCGTACCAGCAAGCTCTTTAGGGATGGATCTACAGCCCTTCATATAGTGGATTCTCAGTGGAGCCTTTGGCCAGACATAATGCCTTACTTATAGTACACTTAATCTGACCCAAGTTCCAAGCAGTTAATTTATTCCTTTGTTGTTGTTTTAACATTTTAACAATTACAAAATAAAATGCAAAAAACTCTGTGGAGCAAGAACATGAGCCCATACATGCCTTGAAAATCTCTAGAGCATTACATTAGAGCTTTAAACTTGGTGACTTTTTAATTCCTTCACTGTAGAATGACACCATTTGAGTAAGGAATGGAAATAAATATATTTGTATACAAACCCTCACCATGAAGACACAACTACAATGCATTTTGGACTGGGTTTGGGGCAGAGATGACTCTTTGTTAAGATCTCATTTTGTTTCAGACATGAGGTAAAAAGTGTGCAGCTCAGTCCTGACAGGCTACAGCAGCTGGTGTGCTCAGAAAAAGAGAGGCTAGCTACACTGGTAATTTTCACTGCACACAAACACCTGGCCTGGCAGCTACCTCTGGAAATGGCCCAGGACATTCTGTGTCTCACAGCAGGGTCAATTAGAGCTTCTCCACAAGACAAACACTCTGCATCTTTTCATCAACCAATCTGAGTGCCTGCCAACCCACTCCATAGAGGTTTTTCTTGTGTTCATGTGTAATTGCCTGCATTTCAATGTGCGCCCACTTCCTCTTGTCCTGTGCCATTGGGCACCATCAACATAGCCTGCCTCCATCTTTACTCCCCCACCATGCAGTTATAGACATGGATCAGACACCCCTGAGTAGGTAAAAACACTGCACTAGCCTCCATCAAGTAGAAATTACTCTAAACTCAGCAGCTCAGATAGACTTGAAGGTAACAGACTTTAGAGACAGGCCTGTAACTTCAGTCACCATCAGCGTCTCCTTTTCCAGTATTCTCAGCTGGTCTCTCAATGAATAGTAGGAAGCAATCCATTAATTTCATAGGTCTACTGGTGTTTGAAATAAATTATAATATTCATACAATACACTTTACAAAATTACTTTATAAATGAACAGAAGACAGCCAAGATTTTATTGCCTTGTCAGATGTAAAAATTTATTTATGCAATTTATCAAGTGTTCAAATTTACACAAAAACAAAACTTCACTTCAGGTCCAATTGTACATCAGTAAGCCCTACATCAGAATACTCTCAACACTTCCAAGTACAATTTTTAAAAGATGGCTTAGAACAGCAGAATCTCATAAATAATGGCCAACTTGACAAGCCTGAAGGTCACTATTTCATCAGTATTTCTCTGCTGAGCAGGACCACAAAACAAGTCTTAAAACCACTTTAATCCCCAAACACTATCACTATACTGCACTCAGAGCACTTAAATTACATTGCCCTGCATTAGCAACACCAAACATTATAGCTAGTCTTAAAGATTTACCACATTTCCCCCTAAGTTTTCTGGGTTTTTTTTTGTTGGTGGTTTTTTTTGTTTGTTTGTTTTGTTTTACATTATAAGAAACTGTGCATCAAAACTGCAAAATACACAACCATCCATTTGGCTTGGTTTTACAATAAAAATATCATCAGTAATCTATTTGTTAACTTCATCTCTTGTGTTGTGCTCCTTTCTCCTCCCCTCTCACTTAAGAAACTACACTAGACCAGGCAGTTTAATTGTAGCACTGAGGTAGCATATTTTAATTAAACAGAATCATAGGTCTGCTACTGTGCCTCCTCTCCTTTAAAGCACACAAAAAAAAATAAAATAAATCCCCACAGTTTATCAACTTATTTGGAGAAGACAGGCATATAGTTCCATTTCCAACAGTCACTCCATTTTGAACTCAAAACAAAAAGCATCTCTGTATGGTAGTTACATTATACCAGCTACAATGAATGAGAACATATACAAGATGAAGGAACTATGTTTAGTTTTATTAGAACTATGGTTACATTTTAGCTCTACAGCACCTATTGTTCCCTATTATGAAACACCTTTAAAGTCTCTGAAATTTAATTTCAAAGACTAGGATCCTGGAAAAGGGCAGCTGTGCCTCAGTTGTACTACATTATTTTCACACTATCTGCAGAAAGGATCCAATGATTGCAACAAAATAAAAATAAATCAATTTGACCTAATATAGAATCAATAGGAATTATCAACATGAGTATATTAAAGGAATCAAAGGTAAGGCAAAAGATAAAACATGCCTGAATGAACTGAGAGCACTTTCCATTTGCTTAAAAGTTAGAGCTGGGATAGCCTTAAAAAAAAAAAAAAGAATCACTGCAATAGTAAGAAGCTTAGTTTCATAACAAATTGAGAATAAGAGTATCTTAGCTTTGTCATTCGGGCTAAGAGCTTTAGAAGAAAAATGTGAAGTCAAGATGTACCAAAGACTTCAGTCTTAACACCCAGATGGTTTATTGAAGTAATTCTTCCAGACACCTGTATATTTTGGGGTGAATAATAAACAGTGATCCTGTCCTGGTTTGACCCAGGATGAAGCCAATTTTTCTTTTACTGATTTTTTTTTTTTCCTTCAATAAGTGACACCATGGCAGACCCCAAAGAAGGGTAGTAATTTCAGTCTCTGCATTACATGCTAGTACACACAGCCATGTTAAACTGTTTCATGATACACAAAACCTAACCCAGCCCTGGGCTGGATCTCTGAATCCCCCTCCTCTCCATCTTTCTCATGGCAAAGCAAACATTTTACTGCAGTTAAAACCCCTTGAGTCAGGAAATCAGTTTTTAACACCTTGGAAAGCAGACTGAGAATGTAACTGAGCTGACTCCTAAATAAACCCTCAGAAAAATGCCTAAAAAGCTGAGGGAAAATGCATTAAGTTACAATGACCTATTCAAGCTGTTTGTGGAGAGTTTAATGTTAAACTTTCAAGTAATCCAAGATGCACTTCAGCACTTGTTATCAAAAATTTAAGGCTTTTATAAACACCCTCCTACATACAAAAGGAGTATTAAAAAGAAGGAACTTGTTTACAGTAAATACAAACATCTGAAAAAATTTTCTGAAACCTGTTTATACAAATACCAATAAATTCTTCAATATTTTGTACAACTAGAAGGTGCACAGATTGGCATTCAAGCAGTCAATGCTGGCAAACATCTGTCAGACAACAACATGATTTACTTGGATAACAATATAGTTTAAAATGCCATAAATTAAAAAATAAGTTAGTTCACATTTTTTCTCCCCCAACTTTTATGTACATATCTTAGTCTTTAATGAGATCGCGTAGCCTTCTTCAGAAGTTCAAGGTCTTTCCGTTGGCTTTTGATTGCTCTGGCACAGCCATACTCTTCCAGTTGCAAAGGGATATACTTTTCTATCTGAATGAGCCCGTGCCCAGCAGGACTGGTAAACAGCTTAATCCAGGACGGCTTAAAGTTTCCTCTGAAGCCCAGAAAGGCCAGGCTTCCTGTGACAAGAACACCACAATGTTACTGAACCAGCTGAGCTCATCCAAGCACAACACACATGAAGGGCTGGGGAAGGGAACAGCACACTCCTCTGAGATTCTGCCTATCCCCCGAATTATTCAGGACATTAATCCACTCTCAGCTTCACGTGCACCTTGCAAGGAAATACTGATCTGAAATTTCCTTTCTCAATCTTCAGTACTAAATACTCTGAAATCTTAACTTGAAGACACAGCTCCCAGGACAGTGATGAAACCTGCTTTCTCAGGCAGGACTTGTGCCAGGGCTCCTGAATGGATGACAGCTATCCCACATGGCTTATAAAGTGATCATCCCTCAGAACACCAACAACTTCTCATCTCTACCTTCAAATGTTGTTAGAACAGGAAATAGGGACCCTGGCACAGGGGATTGTTCAGAAACATTTGCTGGGTGAGGCACAAAATGCAGGCTTTGGGAAAAAAGCCTGGGGCTCTTTTTGAGTAATCCACACAGGCACAAAGAACTTCTCCTTGCATCTCTGCTTGCAACAAGCTTCACACAACGCCCTCCCTTTGGGGCAACGTGAAGGGTTTTCTGCCCCATCTTCTGAAGGGCTAACCACCCCTGCTCTCAACAAGGGCTGAAATGTAGCCAGTCACACCAGTGCAAACTTACAACCACCCTCCACCAGCTGCATCCTTTTCACATCTCATGAGAAACCCACCATGCCAACATAAACACACAGACTAAGGCGGTGTCAAAGAAACATGCAAAATTTCCACCAACCGTTGCTCTGAAGATAAGGTGGTTTAGCCGTCCCCAGGGACATTAAGACTTCTGATAAATTACTAGGAACTGCTACCTCACCTCTTGTGCTCAGTAGAACGATAGACCTGCAGCAGAAACAGTGCAGAGAGGGCAGCTGCTATAAAAATAAAGTTGTCTTAATATTTTGCTACATACTTTTACAGCTAGCTGACCACATAGTCCACTTGCTTAAGAGTACTCATGAAATGGTATTTCACGACATGGAAATAGTCAACCCCCTCTGAAGGCAGTGTACTTAGAAAAGCAACCACCTAGATTATTTTTTAAATCATAGATTCATAAGGGTTGGAAGGGACCTCTGAAGATTGAGCCCAACCCTTCTGTTGCGCCACAGCAAGATGCTTCCTGTGTTGCACTTTTTGTCCATTGCCCCTTGTCCCATCACAGGACACCACTGAGAAGAGACTGGTCCATTCTTGACATCCACCCTTCAGATATTTAGACATTCACAAGGTCACCTCTGAGTCTTCTTTTCTCAAGACTAAACAGCCCCAGGTCTCTCAGCCTTTCCTTGTATGACAGATGTTCCAGTCCTTTAATCATCCCCATAGCTCTCCATTGGACTCCTTCCAGTATATCCCTGCCCCTCTTGAACTGGGAAGCTCAGAACTGGTTACAATACTCCAGTTGTGGTCTTACAAGAGCAGAGTAGTGAGGGAGGAGAACCTCCCTTGACCTGCTGGCCACACTGTTCTTAATACATCCCAAGATACTATTGGCTCTCTTGGCTACAAGGGCATATTGCTGTCCTATGGATAACTTGTTGTCCATCAGGACCCCAAGGTCCTTCTCCATAGGGCTGCTTTCTAGCAGGTCAACTCCTAATCTGCATTGGTGCATGGTGTTTTTTTCTCCCCAGGTGCAGGACTCTACACTTCCTCTTGTTGAACCTCATTAGCTTTCTCTTTGCCTCAGTCTCCAGTCTGTCTAGATCTTGCTGAATGGCTGCACAGCCTTCAGGTGAATCAGCCAATCCTCCCAACTGACTTTTAAATTTAAATTAAAAATAATGAAAGTTATTTAAATATAGTTTAATATTTTATATTTAAAAAATTAATCAACTTTAGATCCTGATTCAAAATTAGATTACTAGAATGCTGATTTTTCTGACACTTTTTATCTTGTCATATAGTTCTTGTTGGTGTCCTTAAATGACCTTATTAAACAAAAAGTTATTCTTGTTTTAAGCAAAAGTGTTATTATATGATATTTAGTTTTTTAAAAAAACAACCAACAATTATTTTTGTGGTGAAAGACAGGCAACATTGGAAAATCCTAAGTGTTTAGAATTTGAGTGGCTTTTTTTTCTCCTACACGGCTAAAGTGTCTGTTAAAATGCTCCTATGTTTCTCCCTTCCCCTCCACTTAGATACATATTTTGCTTACTTTCAGTGCTCCTGCACAGACATCATTACTTGAATACTCACTAGAGAGCAAAGTTACAGCTTACAGGACCTATTGGAAATAAATGGTCATTACACGTACCTTTGCGGAATTCCAGATTTTAAATATTCATCTACATGCTTAATGTCTACTCCAGAAAATAACTTGCTTCCTGACACTGTGCCACTGCAGGCATCAACTACAACAATAATTATACCATTATCCTTGAGGGAAAACATAGTGTCATTGACCTGAATGGGAGGAGAAATGAGAAAATAACTTTTTATTTCTTTCCTAAAGTTAATGTGAATTTAACAGTGACACTTTTGCACTTGGTGTTAATCTTCATCCAGTTCAGACACAGCAGTGCACTCATTTCCTTACAAATACTTGCTTCTCCCTAGCATCTCTTCATTTTTCCCCCTCAACAGAAGGCTTTCAGTGGAACTTCTGAAATTGCATGGGAGCCTTCAGCTCCTGGTTTCTATAGGGAGTTCCTAAGTTTCAGGTGACTTAGTAGGTCACTTAGTAGGTGACTTAGTGACTTAGCCTCAGTCACTGCTCCTGCTTCTGGAAGCTAAAATGCAGATACTGAACCACCTGGACTTCTTGACAATAGTACAGTTACTCTGTCTCTGCAGAAGCCCAGTTCCAACCTAGTTTCCTCTAGAGTGCTCTTACTGCTTTGGATATGGCACATACATTCCCATAGAAGGTTGCAGCTGCTAAGGTTAGGCTGCTCAGGTGCCATTGGTTTGTCCAAACAACTCGAGTTTTCTTATTGCAACCAAGCTAAGACACTGACATTGCAGAAGGCAAACCACATACATGCTTTAAGCTCTATGATGCGAGGATGTCTGCAAATGCTATTTCAGCATCATATGTTAGGCTCTGTCGGCATGCAAATAGAGAGTCAAAGTAAACCCCTTTTTATCACATCACTAGGCTTATCAGAACGACATCAGAACACAGGTAAAAACTTTGTGGATTCTATAGTAATTGCTCTTTTGAAGAGGCTTAGCAAAGCTTTTTTTTTTACTCACCAAGGTGTTAGCACAAAAATGATTTCAACAATATGGATTTAATTAACAGGGTGGGGTTTTTTTGTTTTCTTTGTTTTCCAAAAGCAACCATAAATTTATTTATGTCCATCCAGGTAAGATTTTAAACTCTCTCTTAATGTCACAATTTTTTTCTCTACAGGAAAGGATTGAAATACAAACTGGAGCTTTGGAGCATCACTTTGAGGTTAAAATATCAGTTTTTTGACTATATGGCTTTTAAACTATGAGGCTACATTTTTAACTCAAGGGAAAAAAATTGAGGTCAGCATTATGTAGGACCTGTATAACTGTTGTAATACAAAGTGCTAAAAAGAAAGATAGTTAAAAGAAAACCATAAAGAATACTTACAGAAATAAATGCTTGCTGACCTCTGCCTAACTCTTTTTTACCAGATGAATTAATCTGCACAAGGAGGTAGTTTCTATGAGGATCGCTGGTGAATACCATCTGGATATAAAAAGAAATACCTTAAGTACACATATCCACGTTTTCAACACTTTATCATGCCAGACAATTTACAACATACTCCAAGGCAAACACATCCATTTGTCAACAGCATTATTTATGGTACTAGCAATGCTAATAAATGTCATTATGTATAGTGGAACCTACTTTATTCCTTATTTTCAGTATTTTTATCAGCTTATAAGCTGAAAAAGATAATGCAATTTCAATTTCATGCTAATAAACAAACATCCAAGAAAGAAGTAAGAAGGTTGGGCAAGAACATAAGAGACCTCTGGAGCAAAGCTATCCTACACAGAGTACAGATATAGTGTAGTATAGACATCAGATCTATGTCCCTTCTCTTTAGCACTCAAAATGAGACCAATGTTTTTCAAAGAACAAACCCCCCTGCTTTCTAGCATTCAGAATATAAACAATGCGACCACTGCAAACTGGCAAGTGCATTATTTTGTGTTGAAAGCCTAAAACTCAACCTTAAAATGAGCAGACAGCAACACCAACTATGCAGTTCTTGCAAGTTTTGACTTATGTTGTTTTACCTGAGTTGTGCCACAATTTGTACATGGTACAGTAGTTTTTACTGGCATCCGCATTGTGACAGCAGGTTCTTGGTAGTACTTTGGGTAAGCTTTTGTTATGCAGTTACTGATCCCCTTTGCTGAATCTTTGGTCACAATCTTGATCCTTTCACAACCCTGAGATGAGCAATAACTGTGACCATCCCTATGATATTTGGCTTGAAGAAATAAAAACAGTAATCTACACAAAAAGGGGAAAAAGAATCAGATCAGTTGCCAGAAAGTTAAGTATTTACGTTAAACCGTAAAAGATGTATTTCATTATTTTATGAAGCAGAGAAATTACAATATTCAGTTCTGCATCATTGTTCAAAATTTTCAAAATATTTACAGGTTACTAGAATTAGGAATTCTCTGGTGACATAACTCAAATTCCCAACAATTAAAGGAGACATAATTATGAAGGCATATGATTTGAAAAGCACAGCCACTCATCAAACTAGTGGCCTGCAAGAAACAGAAAACACTGTAGTTAGAACTCTGCAGTATCTACCCATCAGTAACTGTTTAGTCAGCTTCACCCACCAGCACTGGACAAAATAATTAAACTGTTGTAAATGTCTGGTAATGCAATTTATGGGATAGTGGTCACTAACATTCCCAGTACAAGGAGACTGGAAATTCTTCAATAATATATTTGACTGTATCACAGTAGCTCATTGACAAAATAAACATAAATGTCTTTTCAAAGGCTAGACAAAGGAGCAGATAAGGGAACAAAGTGAAGCAGAGAAATTATAAATTAAACATCAACATTTGTGTAACACAGAAATTATATACGTAGGACTTGTTTTACTCAAAGTTGACCACGTCTTAAAACCTCAGAATGATCTTGGTGGTCTCTACCAGAAGTACTTTTGAAAGAGTGATGACAACCTTAAAGTATTTTTAGAGGGCTGAGAACAGATTCTTAAAATGCTCTTGGAACACAAAACTTCTTAGAAATTTCTAAGCTTTACAGTTTAGCAAGAAGGCATAAATTTTCTTTGAAAAATTAAGTTACTTTCCAATAGACACTGCTGTACAGCATGCTAGATACCGCATTTTTCCCAGACATAGAGTAAAAATTAGCTGTGGAAACTGTGATGGTCATGGAAACATATTTTAGTGCTAACTACTATATTTTGGATATTCAAAGTCACATGAAGTATTCTTTCAAATAGGCTTTGAGCTCCTTTGCAACAGCTTTCCTCTTATACAGGTGTCTGGATCTATTGCTTTTAACACAATGAAACTGGTCATTTGAAGGCTAAACATCTCCCAATAGGATCAAGTTACAAGGAGTTACCCAGTACTGTTGTCAAAGTAAAACTTCTTGTCTGATCGATTCTTTTCAAGCTCCATCATTGAAGATACAGGCATGTACTGCTCTACCTTGCTTGACAGAGCAGATGACCGCCGTTGAAAGGTTTCCAATACTACAACAAAATCTGTATTTGGTTGATAACAAAGACCAACACGAATCCAGTCATTCCTGAAAACAAAATAAAATTTATGATTCACTGAAGGAATTACTTAGAAGACAATATACAGCAAGCAGTTCACTCAAAATCCAAGTAATAGGAACAGAAAAAGCTCCCAAACCTTCAACCAGAAGGTCTTTCTTCCCTTCTTTACACAGTAGTTCATTAAATGTTATTGTAACTTTTATAAGGTCAGGATATGTTTCGTTTTATACTTCCATCATCTAATGAGTTTATCTGACAATAAAATAAAGTATGCTCAACTATTCAACTCCATTTCTGCTCACTTTCACTATTTGCCCATTTTCTTCTCCAAAGGATTTTCCTTAAAGACACTGTACAGCACAAAAGTTTAACTTTAGGTGCAGGTCTATTGCTTAATCTCTTGCTTTTCATACTTCAGTATGTGCACTAACAGAAAAAAGTGACCCAATCATAGAATCTTAAGGGTTGGAAGGGACCTCGAAAGATCATCTAGTCCAAGCCCCCTGCCAGAGCAGCGTCACCCAGAACACATCACACAGGAACTTGTCCAGGCAGGTTTTAAACGTCTCCAAAGAAGGAGACTCCACAAGCTCTCTGGGCAGCCTGTTCCAGTGCTGTCACTTTCACAGTAAAGAAGGTTTTTCTGATGTTTATGTGGAAACTCCTATGCTCCGGTTTGCACCCAATGACCATTGTCCTGTCTCTGGACATCACCAAAAAGAGGCTGACTGCATCCTCCTGACACTTGCCATTCACATTTTTGTAAACATTGATGAGGTCACCCCTCAGTCTCCTTTTCTCCAAGCTAAAGAGACCCAGCTCCCTCAGCCTTTCCTCATCAGGGAGATGTTCCACTCCCTTAATCATCTTCGTAGCTCTGCGCTGGACTCTTTCAAGCAGTTCCCTGTCCTTCTTGAACTGAGGGGCCCAGAACTGGACACAATACTCCAGATGTGGCCTCACCAATGCAGAATAGAGGGGGAGGAGAACCTCTCTTGACCTACTAACCACACCCTTTCTAATGCACCCCAGGATGCCATTGGCCTTCTTGGCCACAAGGGCACATTGCTGGCTCATGGTCATCCTCCTGTCTACCAGGACCCCCAGGTCTCTTTCACCTACACTACTCTCCAGCAGTTCAGCCCCCAACCTGTACTGGGACATGGTGTTGTTCTTCCCCAAATGTAAAACTCTGCACTTCCCCTTGTTGAATTTCATCATGTTTCTCCCCGCCCAATGCTCCACCCTATCTGACCACAACTCTGACTTCTTCCCTTCAACCAGTTCATGATCCACCTCACTACCTGATCATCAAGAGCACACTTCCTCAGTTTATCTACAAAGATGCTGTGGGAGACAGTGTAAAATGCTTTATTGAAATCAAGATAAGCCATATCTACCACCCTACCATCATCTATCCACTAGTTACTTCCTCATAGAAGGCTATAAGATTGGTTAAACATGATTTTCCCTTGGTAAAACCGTCTTGACTGCTCTTAATGACCCCCTCATCCTTGATATGTCATGAACAAGTTGTTCCATCACCTTTCCAGGGATGGAAGTGAGGTTGACCAGTCTACAGTTACCCAGATCCTCCTTCTTGCTCTTTTTGTAGACTGGAGTGACATTTGCTATCCTCCAGTCCTCAGGCACCTCTCCTGTTGCCCATGACTTACCAAAGATGATGGGAGAGTAGCCTAGCAATGACCTCTGCCAGTTCCCTCAGCACCCATGGGTGTATTCCATCTGGACCCATTGATTTATGGATGTCCAGATTGCTTAACTGATCCCTCAACCAATCCTCATCTACTAAAGCTAACTCCTTCATCCTGACTTCTGGGGCTTTAGGGATCTGGGGCTCTTGGGGAGAGTCTGCAGCAGTAAAAACAGAGGCAAAGAAGGCATTCAGTACCTCTGCCTTCTTTCTATCCTCTGTCTCCAGGGCACCCACCTCATTCAGCAATGGGCCTACATTGCCTCTAGTGTTAGTTCTATCTGCAATGTATTTGAAGAAGCCCTTACTATTGACTTTGATGTCCCTAGCAAGGTTTAGTTCCAAGGAGGCCTTAGCTTTCCTAGTTGCCTCCCCATATCCTCTGACAATAGTCCTATATTCCTCCTAAGTGGCCAGCCCTTCCTTCCATAATCCATAGATTCTCTTTTCCACTTGAGTTTGCCCAGCAGTTCCTTGTTTAACTATGCGGATCTCCTGGCTCCCTTACTATTGACTTTGATGTCCCTAGCAAGGTTTAGTTCCAAGGAGGCCTTAGCTTTCCTAGTTGCCTCCCCATATCCTCTGACAATAGTCCTATATTCCTCCTAAGTGGCCAGCCCTTCCTTCCATAATCCATAGATTCTCTTTTCCACTTGAGTTTGCCCAGCAGTTCCTTGTTTAACTATGCGGATCTCCTGGCTCCCTTACTTGATTTTCTACCCATTGGGATGCTCTGATCCTCAGCTTTCAAGAAGTGGTCCTTGAATGTTGACCAACTATCTCAAGCCCCTTTACCATTTAGTACCCTGTCCCATGGGACTTCTCTTAATAATTGATTGAAGAGGCCAAAGTTGGCCCTGCAGAAGTCCAAGGTTCTGGTCCTGCCAGGTATTCTGTTCCTCCCATACAGGATCCTGAACTCTACCATCTCGTGATCACTGCAGCCAAGGCTGCCATTGACAGTCACCACTAAGATCCAGTCTCACTGATTGTTACAAACTCTCTTGCGGGACATTACTTCAATTTGGCTCAATTACATAAAAGAAAGTCAACATACTTGTTGAAGTTAATCAGATAAAGATAGGTGACGTTTGGAGCTTTTCCATTCCAATGTATTGTGTAGCTCTTTTGAAGCATCACTACTGGCTGGGACTGTTGAAAGGCAGCTCTCTGATTAATACCTCGAAGAACCATGGGATTGGCTGGGTACTCATCTCGTACAACAGTCATGGAAAGGTTCTGTCCATTCCAGGTTTGGACATAAACCTATATCATGTTAAGGAGGATGATAATAAAGAGGAAAGATTCAGATGCTGTGTAAAAGGAAATTAAATAGTGACAAATATTCTTTACAGTATTAGCTGAAAAGCTGCCATTTGATGCCCTGAGATACTGACTATGTCACTATCTCCTGAAGGAGATCCCTATTTGAAAAACTCTTGTAGATTTTGTGCATTTTACACACACACAAAAAAAAATGGAGGAAGGGCAAATACATCTAGAGAAAAGCAGCTACGGTATTTGGCCAAACTCATGTAGAATAGGAACCAGAATGGGAATGAACCCTATGCGAGATCTGTATTTGGATGGTGGCATTTTACATCTCTATTTAAAAGAAGAAAAAAAAAAAATGCCCTTAGAACACACTCTGTGAAATAAGGACAGAACTCCAGGGGAAGAAAACACCTCTGACACAAAAATGTTTTAGCAGGTAGGGCTGCACCATAGAGCTTCTGGAATGCATAGCTGTTTGGTTTTACCTTCAGCATCTAATATGGTACTCCCAGTTTGTATGCTAAGGGAACACAATATACACAACCGGCTGAAAAGGGCAATAGGCACAGAAGTATTTATAAAACATCAAAGAATGTTTAAATCCAGTAATAGGTATTTCTGTGGTTTATACTCCCCCCACCCCCGTAAGTTGTTGATATTTTAGATTTGCCCCAAAAAGAATGCCACAAGAATACTAGCCTGTGCATAGGTTCCACTGCAAACCACTCCACTCCATTCTGTAATATAAATGCATTTGGGGTGTTGAATCAAGTAGTTATCCATTCTGCCCACATAGGTATCCTTATAGTCAGTCACTGAACCATCTAGATCATGAAATATTGAGTTCTTGTCCCCATCTAGATCTCCTTCTTCAAACCAGGGACCAGGTTTTCCAAAAAAGGCTTTCAAAGAAACCTGGCAATAAAAAATATTTATTTTTTTACCTGGGCAAACCAGAGACTAACATTTGCACACCTGCAGTAACACAGGAATTTGACAAAGTTGATTAATAACCTTCTGGCAAGGACAGTGGAATCTTGAAAAACAGAAATCTTGATTTTTTAGTAATTAGGCTCAGGACAGCTCTTCCTTCTCAACAGTGTTAATATTTGCAAATGAAAACTCATCACTAAGGATATAACAAACCTTAAAAAAAATCTCCTTTCAGCTTCACCATTAGTCATGAAAGACATAGCCTGCAACATGGTATCATTTTTTTTGCACAGAAGACAAAGAATACACCTTTGGTGACTTCCAACCAAGAGAGAAACTCTGGAGTAGGGGTATATAGAAAACATAGCCTAGTGTCCTTGGATGTTTAGTTTCAATACAGCAAGAAGAAGAGAAAGCCATTTGCAAGAATAAAAGAAAACTTGTAACAAACTTACATTTGGACCAAACTTAACAAGAGAAATATTGTTTTTTGGTGTCATCTGCCATGGATTTTTCATCAAGAATCCAACTGCACTGGTAAATCTGTCTGGAGTTGGCACAAAGTTTTTGAAGGTGCACTTGGTAAGGTGAATAGGTCCATCATAAATTTGAAAGCCTCTGATTGGAAATGTTCTGTTAATGCAAGCAAATATTTGTAGCATCCCGTAACAAAAGGCATGGTAAGTCTGTAACTGTGTCATAAATATATTTACTCTCAAAGGTATCAAGAAAGCAAGATACAGATAATTACTTGTAGGTTAGATCTTAGTAAAGGATTCTGCACTTATCTAAATCAGTCAAAAAATGTACCATGTTGAATCAGGATAACTTAAATTCCTATGGAAAAGTGACCTGTGGTATCACCAGATGAAAACTGACTCAGCAAAAATGTGTGACACAGCGCCACATAAAGTGCTAAAAAGAGAAAGAGAATGTCACCTTCAACAGATTCCTAATCTCTCACAGATTAAGCAATAAAGGTGTTTACATTCAATACCGAGAAAGATGCTTTTACCATTTCTACTTCCTTCGCTCATAACATACTTACCTATTTCTAGGCAGGGTCCGTGCCTTCTTATCTATTCCTCCAGTTCCCGCATATTTATTTTGGCCACCTGGAAACCCATAATTCTTGCTCTCACCTATGAACAGTGACTCTGATACCTCCTGGCTGGCACCTTCATCATTTGGGAAGCTCCCATCACTATCAAAGCAACATCAGAGGTGAGCTTTTAGCCAAGACTCTCCAGCAGATGAACACAGTGAAGCACAGCCCTACTTTTACTTCTGTAACTGTGCTCAAGCAAAGCAATATAGACTTCCTTTAAAACACATAGATCAATTTAATTGCTACCAGTATTACAGGCAGTTTGAAATGCAGAGAGCATTATATTTATCTTTCTTTGTAATGCAGCACTTTTACAGCCCACTTTTGCAATCCTAGATACAGTTTGTCATAACCTAAATGGCCGTAATTCTGGCTTACTACTGAAGTTGCATTTTTATTACTGTTAGAAAGAGACTCTGCCTGTTCTAAATGTTCATACCTTTTATGTTCCATTTCTCACTTATAGCTGTTCAGGAGGAACTGCCTAAGGAATCATAAAATACCAAAAATACCTAGATAAACATAACCCTTCTGGTGAAGCCAATTGTGCTGTAAACCAAGCACGGATTTAATTAAAGTGCAGGCTTCAGCAGCTATGTCATTTTACAGCCCTTTAAAACATCATTCGCACCACTGAACTGGGCCCAAAAATTAAACTATAGCCTTATGAAAGTATACCTATTAATTTTAATAGATGGATGTATATTTTCAAGGCTTCTAGGCAAAAAAAACCAAACCTCAGAAGTGATAAAGTACTCACCTAGCAAATGTCAAACCTATTCCATTGTCTGCAAACCTGTAAGAAAGTTCAAACCTTCAGTCATGTTCCCTGGATTACCCTGTAATAAGCTACTGTAGGAGCATATCCTGCTACGCACTGAAGAAAGCCTTAATTTTTCTATTAATGGAATTTAGAAACACCGAACAATTAGTAACTTATAAAAATATTGCTGTTAAAAAATCCCAACTAATAGTTTTCTATATATTTTAAGCAGGAACATAAGAGTTTCAGGGAAACCACAGATACCTCCATATAAATTTATGGTCGTTACCAACTTTTAGATTTTTTATCACGTAGAGTTTTTTGCTGTTTAAGGCAAATTCTCATCTAACCACATATAAACTAGTTTCACTTGAAGTAGCAGAAAGGTGTGAAAGTGGTTCAACCTATTCAGAAGCTTCTCAAGGTAAGCCACAATCTTCTCTTATAACCCTGTTCTAATGTACTTCCATAAACAAAGCTTCAGGGAAAACACGTTAACAACATGCAGCTATTTGCTTCTGGATACCTACCCAGAGTTTTGAATGAGGATATCCCCTCCCCTGACCCAGGCCCCATGATCATTGTTTTTGAAAGCAATTAATCTGTCAATCAGGGCAGCAACTCGAGGCTTTTCTGGGTCTGCATCTTGATGAGGTCGAAACCTGGGACAGATAAAAAACCCAACACTCCATATAAGAATAATGTTTGTTTGACACGTATCATATCTTTGCCTAAGAGCACCTGAAAGATAAACACTCATGCTCATCTGATGGACAAAATCCACTCTATTTCACATTTGGAATGACAGAAGCCAAAATCAGGTGCCTCTGCAGCTTGTTTTCTAGAAAAGTGTTTTTGCAGTATAATGAAGGAGGAACATAAAACTTGTCTTTTCCAGCAACTCTCACAGGCTTTTTGCTCCATCTCACTGAGTTTCTTTAGCTGCACATCACCTCCTTTTAGCCCCTTGCCTTCCCTTTTTGCTCCCTCCAAACTACTCCCCTCCCACTTGCACTACAGCGTTAACATGAAAGTCTGATAGAGGGAACTAAAGCTCTTTGGAAAGATACACAGGGCTGACATTCACTATCCAAAAACAGGCTGAAGATTTGTTTAACCGCTCCTTCAAATCTTTCAAACTCTTCCCATCTTGAAGAATGCTTCTTCTTTGAACACACCCAAGCTATTACAGCTCACATACACTGCATTGCTACCAAGATGGTCTCATACAGTAAGCTATGGCTGGAATCTATTCCAGACAAGAGGAAGAGAGGAGGTGGTAATGAGGCCCACCTCAGTATCTCCCAGATTAAAAGTGCCAGGATGAGAGAAAATGGCCTTACACCAGGGGAGGTTTAGATTGGATATTATGAAAAATTTCTTCACTGAAAGGGTTGTCAAGCACAGCAACAGGCTGCTCAGGGAAGTGGTTGAGTCACCATCCTGGAGATATTTAAAAGACATGTAGATGTGGTGCTTAGGGACATAGCTTAGTGGTGGGCTTGGCAGTGTTAGGTATGGCAGTTGGACTTGGTGATCCTCAAGGTCTTTTCCAATAATTAAAGCAGTATTACAGAAATGCACTTTAAGCATGTAAAGATATAAATGTCCCTTATCCCAATCACCCTGTACTCTAACTTGAATCTGTTCTGACCCCACCCAGGGCAAAGGGAGAACAGGAGAATCCTTTTGACAGTTGCAATTAAGGTTTAAAGCCCTCCAGTTTGCTTGCATGTACAAAGATGTAGTTACAGAGTGCCTCATTACTTCTTTGGCTGTTGTGACACACAAAGTCTATCTCATGCACCAAGTTTCTCACATTCTCTGTTGATGCCCTGTCAACTCACTACAGGTTCTCACAGGGCATTTTGCACCTCCTACATTCCTCCCAACTACCTGTTATGACTCCAAGTAATCCTCAAGTACTAAATGGGTTATGTGTGTTTTCTGTCAAAACTTCAAGCTTGTTAATTTCCAACTCATAAAGTTTCGAGTATCACCAAAATCAGGAATTTTCTTCTCTGCATCTATCATTTAACTGTCCTCATCCTCAAAATGTGTCAGAAATAAAGATAATCTTAAGAACTATATTTCAAGTTTTAATGCTCAGTTGTCAGAAAAAAATGTTGATGGATACAGCGACCCAATATTGTCATTTGACCACTACCCCAGGCTACTTTATTTGAAGTTCAGGACAAGGCAGAGTATAACCTGAAATTTTCTTAAGACTTTACATTATTTTCTCTCACTTTGTAAAAAAAATAAATAAATACACGATTGATTGTACTATCTCTGCCAATAGTCTTCAGCAGAAATGTACCACTAAGGTATGATGTCCTAGTCTAGAAGGTACAGCACGATGCGCTCAGCAGTAGGAAAGGCAAGTAGATGTATTATTTGGCTCCACTAAGTCTTTTTCTAACAATTCTTTAAAACTGAATCATAAATCAGAAGAGCAGATTTTAAAGTAAGACTTTACTTTTAGCAGCAGTTTCATAAAATACTTTAAGCGGGACAGTAGGGCATGTTTAAAACTGTCTTCTAAGAGCCTGAAAACTACCCTGAGCAAGAGGTCTGAAGAAACAGACAACTCCTTTAAGGCAAACCATGCTCTGCTGTTCACAGAAGAGATGAACAAACAAGGGAAACGATATCTATGAAGTTAATTGTTTGGTTATTATTTAGAAATAATTATATTGGTTTTAAAACGTTTTTCCTCAAGTGAATGTAAGAGCAGTCTCAGAACTTTGCCATTTTTCACTCATTTGAAAGACAGTATCCTTTACCTTGCTTTGTTGTCCAAACAAAGATATTCTCTGGGATCGTCAACACTAGCATTAGTTGTTTTAACACCCTTATCAATGAACAGACCAGCCTGAAATAAGCAAGGAAAGAAAATTCATACTATCCAAAACTGAAGATAAACATTAAATTTATAAAATTTCAACTTTACATGGCATTCAATACATGTATTAGAAACTCTTAGATCCTTCAGTTTGGCCTTAACTGACATATTGGCTAAGGCAAAAATGTTTGTATTTGTCTATGCTAATTTGGACAAAAGAAAGGAATGGCCTGGGATTTAAAAAAAACACAACAAAAACAAACACAAAAAAGTAATGGAAAATCGTTCATTTCAGATTTCTTTCACAACATCTAGCTATTGAGGTTTTATGCTTACTTCCAGATGCTGTTCTGGAAAATCTGGAAGGCAATTGTGTGGTGAATTCAAAATATTCTCATAATGGGAAAAAAACCAGAACACACACACAAAAAACCCGAAAAAAACCCAACAACCACTGTAACATATGCTTTGTATTTCACTTTGAACTACCTTCACCACTGAAGCTGATTTTTGCCCAAGCAATCATCAACTTAAAAATCAATAATCCAATATGAAATAATTTGCTTGAGAAAATGGAAACGGAGGGATTTGTGTTATTTAACTTGAACTAGGTACACAAACACTTACACCACTCACTTGCACCACTTCCACCTCTGATCCAAATTATTATTACAACTGAGTACTCTTCTGAGTAGATCCTCAGATCTGCTTGTGGCGTTTGCTCTTTTAACATAGAATCTTAGCACACAAATAGCTACCCTTGTTTAAAGATATTATAAGCCATGCAGCTGAAGCATTTTTTCCTTTACAATGCATTTTTGTATTCAGTAGGTTTTAATTCCAACCCGAACAAATGCCCCACAGTCCCAAACACAATGTTAATGCAACTTCTATACACATTAGTGCATAATTTCTTGGTATCCCAGACACCCAACAGTTACGTAACATCAGTTTCACTTGGTGAGAAAAATGCAACAGTGATCCTGAACTTTATTACGTAAACTTCAAACACAAATAAGTATTTAAAGTTAGGTGGCTTTGTAAATGCCATGGTATTTACACATCTATACACAGCAGCTAAATTCCAAATGAAATAATGAAAAAAATAATTTAAGGACTTAAACTTCATTTAGCTGAATGTGTAAAAGATACTAAAATCCCATTAATAAAACAATACTGAATGCCTGTATCTAGGCTGAGAACCCTAAACCAAAACAACCTGTTACAAATGGCCGAGCTCCTGAAGGCAAACTGGAAGCTTAATCCCTAGTCAGAGACTGCACCAATATATTCAAATACGTGAGCTACTGTACATCAGAAACTCAGGAAAACAAGGCACAGCTATTTCAGGAAGCTATTAGATTAATCACAATTGTAATAAACTTCGACGCTTCAATGATCAGCTACCTTCAGAGCAGAAAATCCACATCATCACTACAAGAGAAGCATCTGAAATGCTACTTCTGAGAAAATGTATTTCATTAGAAGTATTAATTGACTTCAGTCGTCTGTACCTTATGAGGACATTAAGCATAGTGAATACTCAAAACATGGCATGAAACTACACAGATGCTGATTATACACTGCTCTACAATACCTAAGTAGAACCATGCAGGGCAAACACAGGATGAATCCATCATGTAATCAGCTTAAAATACAAGCAGACAAATCTAATACAAAATAGTTACAAATAAAGAACTTTTTAAAAAATAGTACCTTACCTTAAAATTAGAATGAACCCTGTTGTTATAGAAGATTCCCAGGGGTGTAAGCTCTGACTTTGTTTCAATGGCTAAACTATGAGAATCTCCTGTAGGAACCTTGTGGAACAAATACCATATTCCAGCATCCTGCAGGTAAGGAGAGAATGATGACACTTATAAGTGAGTCTCATACTATTATCAGTGCTGATATATTTAATCACAAGATGATACTAAGTTGAACTTGAATATTTTAACTTAGTAGGTGAATAAGAACACAGCCCAAGCAAACTGTTCACAATATAATATATTTCTCAAAATAAAATCTCCAAACAACTACCCAGTATTAAAGTAGAAGTTTGCCAATAAGGCTATATATTAGTGAATAGGCACTAAAAAGTGTTCTGCTCCTCAGTGAAACCATGTAACAACTTCACATTTAAGATTTGCTAATATTTCAAACCAGAAGAGTGTCAGTTAATGTAATTTTTGTATTTCAGCTTAATCACACACTTCATTTCCCTTCTTTTACTCGTAAATCATGCCATTTACAGTAAAATATTCAAATCTCCACCTTACTGTTACAGTCTGACTAAGGTTTTTTCATCTCTGTTCACGTCAGAATTTAATGACACAGCTGAAAAGCCACAAGAGCTTTCAGAAGACAGAAAAAAGCACATCAAGAAGTCTGGCCAGTTCGGAACACTCTGCCAATAATATGCAGTAATAATTTAAGCATTGTTCATTTTCTCCATTTCTTGAACATCCCCGCTCTTAAAAGAAGCTAGACGAGACCCATAAAAGCTCCCCTTTCAACCAAATCTGGGTTTCACAATAGGTAGCATCACAACAGCACCTGCATAGCAGGTACCTAAAAACATGAAAAATTTTACCTGACAACATGACCTGTGCCCTTAAAAGATAAAAACAAACAAACAAACATTGCAAAAGACACATTAAAGGGTTAAACAGTAGCTGTAGAAACAATGCAAACTGAGTGCTCCAGGGCATGACAAATAGTCATCACTCTTGTTCAGGAAACCTGGATGAAGCCAGTTCACTCTGGCTTAAAAAGATTTTATGCATTCAACTCTGAGAATATACTCATTTTTCCAAATAGTCCTGGAAATTCTGCTTCTCAGTAACATATTCCCATCCATAATGATGACACACTTTGACATTTCTGGTGATTAACAATTCCAAAGCTAACGTAGATGTTCCATTAATAAAGAAATACCAAATTCTTACTTTACATATAATTAAGTACAGCTCTGTGCTTGGCAGACTCAAGCAATTTTTATCCAAAACATTGCTTGGAAAAAAAGTTTTAATATGCTTAAAAGCTCCTTAAGCACTCATAAGCATTCAGAAAAATGAAAGAGGTCCATCAACCCCATATACTGCTCAAACAAAAGAAATATTTATTGCTGATACAATAGGCTTCATTGTGCAATGAAGGAGCAGGGGAGGGACAATGGAATTATTTTACTTGCTTGTGAATTGCTATAGTCTACACCAGGACTCTACAGTGTAGGGTCTGTACCAAGACAGTTGAAGTATTCTGACACAGAATAAGCTGTAGTCAGTTTCTACTGATGCGTTTACACATCAGGTATCTCAGAGTGGCAAAAGTCCGTAACACACACAAATGCTTACTCTGACCACGCACATTCTGGTAACAAAAGGAAGTAACATTTACTGGGATACACTACAGAGGCAGAAAAAGACCTTGTAGGTTTTAAGCAGCAAAATAAGAAAGCCATTTCCTTTAATTTAGCCATCAATGCTAGAACAAGATAAAGGAAAAGCAGGTAAAATGGAAAGACATCATGTGTCCAGATTCTTCTTAGTAGTAGAGAATCAACTAGAAAAGTTTGGAAGATAAAAAAAGGCAAGCCAGACCACACAAAAAAGCAGAAAAAAAAAATTCTCAATTTTTACAACACTCTAGATATTTAAACTCATTTACATATTTTTAATTCTGTCCTATTAGTATCAATGTGTTACATATTCTGTCCCTAAGAATACACTGACACACACTCATATGCCACTTTCAGCACTGAAGTTTTTACAACAATAAAAATCTTTCCTGTTTTCTATTCCCACTGATGTCTTCAGAATAGCCCACTCAAAACCATGCACATCTCAGCCTCTCATCCAATGTAGAAGTGGAGCAGATTCCAGCTCCCTCCTCAACATATACCAAGAACTTCAGCTTTACTTTGCAAGCAGCTGTGATGAGATTTCCATGAATATACAGTTCACAAGTAAAAAAACATGTCAGCAGTCACTGTTGGGAAACAAATAACTAGCAACTGACAGTAATAGTCAGTTTTTTGTGTTTCTTACACAATCAACATTTTTTGTAGTAATTTTTCATTCCAGTGACTACAGCTATGAAGACAAATCTTGCAGAGCAGTCCCAGAGTAAGCTCATGACAACCTACAGAAAACACAGAAGCTTAAATATTAAATGCACTAGTTATTTAGAAATAAAGGGATTTATTTCTATATGCACACAATGATGCTACTGTCAGGTCTATTATCTACAGAGGAAGAGATCTCCTCTGTTCCTGCCAGAACTAAGATTTTTGGCATCTCATAATGCATACCTAGATGCTGCGCTTTTAGTGCAAATATGCTGTCAAATGTAAACAGACCGTATTAATATATAAAAAAGAAAAAAAAAAAAATTCTTTTTGGCAGTGTAAATGTTAGAGGTTTTACAAATATCAGTGGCATGAATAGTTTGTGTTGAATTACATCCATAAACCTCACCTGGGAACCTGCTGCAGCATTATTTATAAGATGATTGTTGGGATGAGAAATCCAGAATGTCGAAACTGCCCTGCAATATTATTTTTAAAAAAGAGATTATGAAAAAGTTCTAGCTCCTACAGAAATATCTCCATTTCATAACAAGAACATAAAAAGCTAAACTGTCTGAACTCACTGCTTCACGTATGAACTGCAAATCACACCCCCTCTCCTCCACATTTACAAGTAAAAAAACACTTATGTTTTTGGTTCAATGCACAGCATTTTATTCCATGTTGTTCAGATAGTCCATGCAATGATAAACTGTTTAATAAGCTTCTACAAGATACTAGAAGTAAGCAGAAAAACTAGCACTGTCAACTTGAGAATGTAAACACCTTCACATAGGAGATATGGCCTTAAAAGTTTATTTTAAAAGTATAGCAAGAAATAACAATCTTCCTACAAACCAACTTATTTTTCCTCTTGAATAAAAGATTAATTGACATGTTAATTATTTTTTTTTAATACCACTACTATGTGAATACATTTAAGGCACCTGCATTCATTAAATTATACATTAAAATGTTCCCATCTGTACATTGTAAAGAGATCATCAGCACTTTAATTGCCGCAGCTAGCTTGGTTTTACTTTTTCACCACGAAATACTCACATGCAGTCTGTGGCTGGCACTGGGATGTAATTTCCATACACTTTATCCCTAATACCAATACACATGCTGCTGTTTCTATCTGTAGGAAGAAGAGTGCCTGGTTTCGTGACTAGTCCAAGGTTGTGAAACAAAGTATTCCTCTGCTCAATGCCATCTTCTATGAAGAAACAGTGACCTAGTGTGTCATAGCCAATGGTGTCCTTTATCTGCCGAAATACAAGTTCATTATGTCAGCAGGGTCTTGGCACAGCTGCAGAGCGAAGCTTCAGTATCAACAGTTCAGATGATTCAAGACTACAGTTTTATTTATCCCTTACAAACACACCACTATGTCTGGAGAGCTTAGCTGCCTGGAAGAATCTGAGAAAACAGAACGGTGAGATCTGTTAAAAGCTAAGTTACTGCTTGCACTTGTCTATTTATTCACTGCAATTAAAAAAAAAAAAACCACAAAAAAACCCAAAGACATTGCCGAGCATTAAACTTGAAGAAGGGAGCGGATTTTTTTTTGCTCTAAATGCTCTTTAAAATATTTATTTCAACCTCATGTTTTACTCTCCTTGCACCTACCAGCAAGCCATTAGTTGCATGAACAGTCACACATCTGGAAAAACAGTGATGAATGGAAAGACCTTCCAAGTACGTCTTAAAAAAATAACCTCCTTTTTCATCCACATCCCCACAAAGGTGAAAGTGAACAGGGTAACTTCCAATCTGCTGCTGACCCATTTGCTTCAATTCCACATAGGAGAGATGAACAGCTGTAAAATTCTTCAAAATCTAAAAACATAACAAGAAGTCCAGAATGAATAACCAACTATTTGCTTTATAACTAATAGAAATTTAAGTTAATACATCATCTATATCAGATGTACAGAAGTTAGACATACACAGGCCAACACAATAAAAGTTAGAATCATCATTACTGTCTTGCTCTATACCTTGCTTTACAAAACAGTATCTTTCATAATTAAATGTAAAACCTACATTTCCATGTGGTTAAAACAGAACAATTTTCACCAGACACCTTGGCACACTTTACTGTTTGGTCTTTACCAGCTGGCATGTTAAATATTCCTTCAGTACCTGTCCAAATAAACAAAAGTCATCCACATCAGGACTTGTCTATACTGAAGCTGTACCAGCACAGCCCAACTGGGACATTGTGATTTTATTCAACTAAGCCTAATATAGATTTAAACGAACCTGTTAAGATACCCAGTCCAACCACCAGCACAGGACTACCTTAAAGATAGCTTCTTAGCACACTGCCAGATTAATACCTCCAGCCATACACATCAATTGGTTCTTCCCTCTCATTTTTCCTGGTATCTAAGCAGAATTCATCTTGTTGAATGTTGGTCCCATTGCCTTTTGTCCTACAACCGTGCACCTTGAAAAATCACCTTAGCTTCTCTAAACTCTCCCCAGTGCCTGAAGGCAGCAATCCTTCCATCTTCACCACACCAAACAAGCCTTGCTCTCTCAGCTTCTCCTCACTCATCATCACAAATTCCCACATAACACTTTCACTGGACACATCCCACTGCAACACATTGTTGCAATGGGAAACCAAAACTGCAGAGACACTCCGGATGAACTTCTTTATTACAGAGATACAAAATTGTCTTCAGAATCACCTAACACCACATGCTGCCCAGTACATAAAAACATTGTAGCAGAAACACAGGAAATGAGAAATATTCTCTTCCACCTAACCTGCTACAAAACCATAAACCAAGTGTAACAGTCAAACAGCAAGGAGCAAAGCTGAGAAAAAATCTTTTTGGTTACTTCATCAACTTACCTGTACTGGGAATTTATCAAAATAAGCATTTTCATATGTACTTTGGCCTCTAGGGAAGCTAGTAATAGAGAGGTTTTTTATTCCCCTCATCTAATTGGACTCCTAAGATTTGTATACCTAAAATACAGAGGGGTGGTCAAAAACAGGCATTTCTGAGAT